GCCTCTCTCTGGCACCACCGGAGCCTCGCTGCAGCCCCCCTAAAATGGCCGTTCTTTCACTGCGAGCAGGTCCCAGCCGAGGCCGACAGCCGGCTCTGGCTCCTCAGTTCGGTTCCCCCGTCCCCTGGGACGCGGTGAGGCCCCGCTGTGCCCCCAACACCAGCGGCGGCCCCAGAGGCACAGGGCGCAGCCGGCAGCCCCACCGGCTGATAAGGCAGCACGGCTCCCTGCACGTAATCGGGGGAGAAGTTGGGGCTGGAAAACAACAACACGCCTGAACAAGGCTTGAAGATAATGTAATTGCTGCTCATAAAACACTTGTCCTTACAGGGGAGGGGAGAAAAAATTGGCCGTTTCTCAGTACCCAAAAACTTCAGCGGAGCACTGGTATTACAAAACCCCTTTCGGCTAAACCTGGTGCTGACAGCTTCACCCCCCGTACTGCTCTGCAGAATCTCAGCCTTGGGATCTTTTGATTTTCTTTGTAGCTCAAGCTCCTGGCCAGGAATTGTTTTCTAAGGCTGTAATTACGCCCAGTGCAGCTGGGAGCAGAGGACAACCTTTCTTCCCACACAGCCGGCAGAGAACTGCTTTCCCTGGCTCCTCACTTCCAGCACAGCCACCCCAGCTGCTGCTGAGGAGATCCTTGTTCCCCACTGCCAATGCACGGCGCAAACCCTCAAAAAGATGACCTTCCCGAGCCCTTACCAGGAGGCTGCCCCGAACAAAGCTCGCGTTTAAGAGACTATTTATACTACGGAATGATTTCTTTGCGCTGCCAGGGCCAGGCTGTTCCCGAGGGCTCACCGCCCGGCCTTCATGCGGTTTCCCTGTCTGACCCCAAGGCCCCCTCGCTCCCCCCCCGCCCCACCGAACCAGGAGCTCCCCGGCGGGACCGTGCCGGGGCAGGCGCGTGGGGGCTGCGGGCAGGGAGCGCAGCGCCGTAGGCGTAAGAGCCGAGTCTCGGAAATTCCCATCTCAATCCAAAAACAACAAGCGCCGTCCCGAGCACGGCGCCAACGCCACAGACGCCCACCTGTGCGGAGCCTCCGCCGGGGGTGCCGCGCTGCGGGGCTGGGAGCCGGGCCCTGTGCGGGGAGCGGCCCCCGCCCGGCCCCGGGGACAGCCGCCGGGCCGTGCCCGAGCCCCCCGGCCGCGCAGCGCCTCCCGGCTCAGCCCGCCCCTGAGCCCCGAGCCCGCCGGTACCCGCAGCCCCGCAGCCCCCCGGCCCCGCGCAGGGCTCCCCCCGTCCCGTCCCTCACCGTGCGGCCGCGGAGCGCTCCCTCGGGCTGGCGGCGGCGCGGATCAACGGCGACCCCGGGCCGCTCTCGCGAGAGCCCCGCCCCGGCCCGCCCCGCTCGGCCCCCTGGCGGCGCGGCGGAGCGGCTGCAGCGCCGGGCGGGGCGCGGGGCCGAGGGGACACAAAATGGCGGCGGCGCCGCTGAGGGGACGAAGGCGGAGCCCCACGGGGCGGCGGCACGGAGGGAGGGGCAGCTGGGCCCCCGGCAGCACGGGCAGGGGGGTTCAGCCCCGCTGCCCCCTCTGAAGAGGGAGCGGGGTCTCTGCACCCTGTGCCTCGGCACCAGCCCCACCACCGCACCTGAGGAACGCTCGCTACTACAACGATTTTGTTTGCAAATGGGACAGGGCTTATGCACAGCCTCCAAAAGAATGTTCCAGGCACCAGACGTCCTTCAATAATGACAATAATCTGAGGGAAGCAGCTGTGTTGATGCCTGCGTCCAGCACCCCATAACATAATTTACTTTTACTAAGCTGAGCTGGCACCAGGGCTGTCCGACAGCCGGGACAGGGCAGCCCCAGTGGACCCACAGCACAGCAGAAATGAGAGAAGAGGCATCATTGCAGGCAAACGGGAAAGCATCTGCCCCTGGGGCCTGCACCTCGTCCCCTTCTAGCAGCCCCACACACGTCCATCCCCAGCTGGCCCCCAAGGCTGGTCCTGGGCAGGCAGCAGCTGGCAGTCCCAAATGGTAGAGGGAAGTACGTGTGTACTTTATACACGTACTTCACTTATGTAATGAAAGTAAAAACCACTGATACAGTCATTTTAATCCTCACCCAACTTGATCTGCCTTTTTTTTTCCCCCTTTAATTTTTCTCTCCTGAAAGCCTCCAAAGCTTCAGCTGGTAGAAACATCTCTGTGACCACTCCATACACACATAAGCTTCTGCAGATACAGGAGATTCTTTGATGGCCAGAAATTACATCTTCCCAGTTACCAACTGGAAAGCACCCTCAGTTCAGATATGATGTAGACAGAGTGCTACTCACCATGCTTTACAAATGAGAGGAATTCCTGTACGTGTTTTGTAGGACTAGAATAGGTTTGAGCACATCTCTAGTGTAAGCAGGCATGGCCCAAAACCAGACAAAACTTTGCTCACATGATCTATTATTTATCAGTAACTGCTTCAACAGCAGCCACTCCAAACACACACTATTTGTGTCACTGAAAAATCAGCATAAAGGCAGTGCATATCTGTAGCTAGACTTCCAAGGCCAGGACTACTGCTTTGCTTCAGCGCCTGACAGAATTCTCCCTGTGGCATTTGGCTGAAAATACTCTCTGCCACAGTGTGCTGGCCAGTCTAGAATACAGAGAAATACATTCAATAAGCAAAGTCATACCCCAACAGTGGTTCACTGATCCCAGACTCAGTGGCTCCAACAACTTAAAATAGCAAGGAAGGAGTTGAGTAAACAAGTCCTTCGTAATGTCCTGTATATGCTACACAGTCATTTTTTAATAACTACACAGCACACATGGGATGTTAAAAAGGCTGGGAAGTCAAGAAGTCAGAACATCAATGGAGAAGCTTACCATGTGCATGTAGAGCTCACTGCTCACATTTCAGGAACCTAGTTTCCTGAAGAGCTGCATTTTGGGTTGCAAGCCCCTGTGTTTTTCACCCTGCAGTTACCTGGTTTGGGGGACAGGGCAGGACAGCTGCTTTCCGTTTGGCTGCTTTGAGGATGGCTCAGAGGCAGGCTAAGGGTGAGCAATCAGTTTTGTGCCCAGTTATCGAACACAAAGTTTCCAGTGGCCTCAGGACATCATCTCTGAAACACTGTTCCCAAAGACTCACTTTGCATCTAGATTAGAAATATAAAAAGCATTAAAAAAAAAAAAAAAAAAAAAAGAAAGAAAAAAGTACTCCTGCACAGTGTATTTCTCCAATCATCCATTACCTCCTGCTTGTTACGGCAGGGTTGGGAGGGATGAACTTGACTAGGTTATTATTAATTGTCTTGGCAAAAGACATTTGGCTTCTGCAAAGCTAGAAAGCCAGGAAAATGATGTGGGGAAGAGCATCTGGTACTGGGTAGGAGTCTCCAATTTTCATGTCCCCACTTGAAAGAAATACGTTATGTCACACAGAGCCATAAAATACCCAGATAGTCCATGTTTCTGTGAGAGAAACAACAACAATCTTGAATGAGAACCTGAGGAGGAGAAGACACAAAGCACCCTCAACACTGCTGCCGTGGTGCCTGCAGCACAAAGGCTGGATCCAGCTCCTGGGTGTGTGGAAGGCGTGGAGCTGACCCAGGTGGGTTCCCCCACCGCAGCAGCGCCTGTACTGGAAGGCAGGAGTGGTGCTGCCGGGGAGGTGATGGCAGCGGAGAGCCGGGGGCCTGCTTTCTGCAGCCCTGGGGGGCAGGGGCTCTGTCAGCACTCACGCACAGCGCCCACAGGCTCACAAAGGCAGGGAGGGAGGCATATGAACAGCGTGCAACGTCAAACAAATCTAACTCACCTAAAACTGGTTTTTACAAAGCTTCAGCCTACTTCAGATCTATCACAGATTCAGACTGTAATGACACAGCCGTGTGAGGTTTTCCTCATATGCATATATAAATACACACACACACATTTACACACACACTCCAGCCAGAACTGGAACAGGAAAGGCATCCCAACGTAGGCTTAAGGCACAAGGGCTGCTTTATCTGACAGCTTTGCTATGTTATGGTTCTAGGGTTTGCTGTTATTTGGCAGAAGTGGTTTGCTGAACAACAGACATTATGCAGTCAAAACAGGTCTCTTCTGCTTTTTCAGAAACACTTATCTTTTTCCAAGATCCTTTTAAAGAACACCACTACAGCAGCATGGCACTAAATTAACCCATAATTCTGTTAGAGTGAGGTTGATGCTGAAAAGTCATAACACTTAGCAAATACAGATCGCTGAAAACAAGGAAGAAATGAGCAACATAAACCTTAACACCATAAATTCAAATTAATGTACAGGCTGCCCTGAAATTGGATTCTCAGAGGCAATAGCATTTGTAGGGTTTTCCAGACAACACGACCACAGGGCAGCATTAAGCTGATGAGCATGCAGGGATTTCAGCTCAGTCCCAATGTGGGGTGAAGAAACTTGCAGTACAGCCAGTGCTAGCAGCAGGGCAACTAAATTATCTGCAGCTATTGCAAAGAGAGAAAGGACTGACTTTTTGTGCATGTATCATTACTGATGGTGAAGTGTCTGTGAAGGACCCGAAATACCAGCTCCTGCTGTCAGGGCAGTATAGCGCAGGTCAGATCACACCACCCAAGCCCCGATGGTTCTGCCTGCTTAGCACGCAGCAGAGAGCTGCTCGTCAGCAGTTTTGCACTAGAAGGCACAAACAAAAGGGTGTTTCTGCAAGGTTCACTGCACAGGGAGCTGTGAACCCATCTCTGCTCTACAGTTAAAGTTGCAGGATAGAAGCAGGGACCGTAAGAGGGGGAGGAGTGGATCTGTACTGCCAGGCGGTGTGCCAGCTGCTGAGCACCAGGTGGAGCTAGGAGATGCATTCTGGCCAGCAGCATCACTGCACAATACTTCATGGAAGGCTCCTGACCCAGATTTGTGAAATAATGCTACCTTTAACTGCAGGGGGGATGAAATTTCTCCTTTACTACATTGCTGAGCCACAGCCACACGAACAGCATTGTTGTTGGAGTTGCCTTTTTTTTTTTTTTTTTTTTCCAGGAAGTGAGCTGGAGGTGGTTGGAACAGGATGGAGGTTTGCAGCGTCATTTCCTCGCTCAGGCTTTCCTCTGCGTTTTCTAAGCTTCTTTCACATGCTGTCTGAGTGGCGTAGCTATAGTGTATTGAAAGGCTGATAATAAGATAGATGACATCTGTTTAGGTCACATATTTGATAGGATTAATGCTTCTAAAGACTTACAAGCTACAGCTTAGTACTCTGCTATCTGAACACATTGGCCCTTGGACACGTGATGGCTGCCAACTCAAGGCCCAGCATTTGCAGCGACCCAGAAAGATGGAAGCTGGACACCCAAGTGACTGTGCCAACAGCTGAACACCCATTTCCTTCTCTGATGCCAGTCAGCACAAGAGACGGGGTACTTAGTCCTGCACCAGGACTTCACAGTTCAGCCCCTCTCCAAGGACCTCTCTGCAAAGCATCTTCTGGAAGAAGAAATAACTCAGCATCACCATTTTTTTTGGGGTGTAGAGGTGTTGCCCCACAAAATGGGTATGCTTGTTTTAGCTTACATAGGTGAAAAAGGAGCACACCCATTTTTATACAGGGCAGAATTTTTGGCTGCAAGCTTCTTTACGAGTGAGAAAAGGAACAAAATCCCATTAACCCATACAACTTACCCATCTCTTCCCCTTCACAAACCATGTGGTGCTCTCTAGAGCTAGCCCCCTTGCAGGGCAGGTGAGCGGGCTGCCACTGACTGCGAGATCACCAGAAAGCACCACTGACTGCCCCATCTCTCAGCCACGCGCGCGAGCTGCCCAGGGCTCTACCCAGAGGCTCACAGGCATTAGTCTCCTTATTTGCAGAGAGCCAGCTGGATCTTGTGACCTATTTAAATAACAAGGCTTTGGAAAGAATCTCGATAGGCATGTTGTTTTCATCATGTCAGATCTATAGTTGTGAATAGCAGGAAACGAAAGACAGCTTAGAAACCAAAACTCCCCCTTCTCACTAAGAGTCCTAAAAGGGAAAGGCACAAGTGACTGATGCAGCCAGGTTATTTAACTGGTATGGCAGTAGTTGATTAGAATGATTTATTTCCACCTCATAAACCCACATGCTGCCTCCCTCTCTTTTGCCAATTAACAGTATTACTTAGCACTAATAGACTGCTTTCATTTTCAAGGGGCTTAGGAAGACAAATTAATCACCTCAACATGTCTGAAGGGAACAGATGGCAACGAAGTATTAACATTGCAATTTCACAGTTGGAAAAGCTCCCAAAAGAGGGGGCTAGCAGTGTCTGGAGGGCACCCGGCCCTGCTCCACGCTTGGAGCCAGGACCCCTGGTCTTGTTTCTGCCCAGAGACTCTGCTTTATTCTAACTGCACCACACATTGCTTCTCCTGAGCAAAGCTGCACAGTTTGTATCATTCCATCTTTAACGAGGAATAACATCCTTCCAGAAGGCCTCTTACCTCAGCATGTCTCCAGACAGGTCATTACTGCTTTGGATTTAAAAGACTAAATGTCTATCCAATAATGCAATTAGTCCAGCTTGCCATTATTTCTTACTGTCTATAAGCAGAGAAGCGATCAGGAAGAAATACATTCCTCAGGCCATACAGCAGAGATGCTTTTTTTCCTCTGAAACATCTGTGGTTACAGCTGGGCACAGGACAGCTGATTGCATTTTCCTCCCCACTCACTCCAGTCTGAGCGGACCAGAAGTAGCATTGCTCTGTGGGGCCTTTTGGCTCAGCTGCACAGGACACAATTTCTCAAGCTACATCCAGAAGTGAAGCTTATTCTAGCACAGATGTTCCTAAAGCAAAAGAGAAAAAAAAGGGTGAGATTTAAAAAAGGGTGAGATTTGTGGCCATTCTTAAAAGAACCAGCTCAGGATCCAGGCTGTAACAGCTAGCAACTGAAAGATCGCTTCCAGCAACACGAGGCCAAAAGCAAATTAAACTTGCCAGAGAAGACTGAATAAATAAAAGCAATGGTTTTAGAACTGGTGTTACACTGACTAAGCAACTCTTCAGGGTAGTTTTTTTTGTTTGTTTGTTTTGTTTTGTTTTGTTTGTTTTTTTGTTTTGTTTTTTTTTGAATGAATTAACTATGAAAGGTTTTTATTTAAAGCATTAAGAAATGCAGTTTCTACTTCAGCTATTAACCCTATAGCCAAAGATGACCTCAAATTACACGTGTGCAACGATAATGAACTCGGTCAGTGACAAATGTCTGACAGGTATTGGCCTCTCCTCTGGGAACAGTAACAGTAAATATGGTGACATACCTCCTTTGTTACTATAATAACTGAGTGAAATTAATTATTATAACTTCTTCAGAGCTATTTTATCAGCATACTGATATCATCAGTCTGTGCTAGACCACTGACCTAAGCACCTCAGCCCATTATCAGTCCCATAGCCATCAAGCAGCATTTACAGTTCAGTCCTTCTAGAGACACCAGTTACCGTGCAGGGATGACTTACCGTATCTGGAACACTGCATTTGCAGGTGGCTGTTCCCATGTTTCAAAGGAAAGAAAGAGCACCATAGCCGAAGTGTTAAAGTTGCCAGTTCTGGAAACTGAGGATTTGTACCAAACGCAGGCCCAATTTAACTGTTTTTCAAACGGGCTCAAGAAAACAACACACTCCGATTTCACCCTTGCTTGACAAACATCTAGATTTAGCATAGATCCACTCAACTATAAATCTAGAACGTTTTCCTTATACTTTATATATAAGTAGAATGAAATGGATTTTGATTTTCCTAAGTTAGAAAGCATTCAAAAACAGAGGTAGTTCTCACATTTACAACAGTTAACATTTGAACAGAGATCTAACATGAAGAATATGTAAGTACAACCTGATTGTATTTCAATTAAAAAAGAATCCAAATGCAGTGAATCTTTTTTTTTTTTTTAAACATGCATTCACCATACAAATAAACCAACTTATTTTACCCACGTAGTTAACATTCAGATGAGTAGGGATTTTTTCCAAATGTGCACTAACACGTCTTGTATTTTAAACCTTTCCCAAATCATAGGAAATCCATAGATACAAACACTATTTTTGTTACCAACAGGTTTCTTGACAATTCTTTCACTTCAAACAGGCTCTGCGCTATATCTGTATTACAGTATAATAAAAGGTTTCTCAATGGGAATTTTTTGTTTGCTTTACAAAATTGTTTTGGAGAGAAAAGAAATCCTTAAGCTGCCTGAATGACTAAGGCACTCAGAACAAATAATCTTATTTTGAGCTGTACTTTGATGAAGACAAAATCAGACACTTGACATCAGATCAGATATGGAGCATAGGACTGGTGAACACCACATGCAAATTGTCCTCTGTGGCTTATGCCACAACAAAGTAACCGCTTCAGGACAGACACACATAAAAGGAACTCTCTGGAAATTACTTTTAATATAAGAAAAACAAGACTGCTTTTGAGTTGTAGGGTATGATAGTGTGACAGGCTATTATGAACAGCTTTTGTTTCGTGTCTTCAATAAATAAGCATTCGATACGTAATTCGCATTACATGAGTCATCTTTGGTAATACTTCATATTTGCATCAGTTGGTAAACATCAGTTCTGCACATTGAGGGTGTAATTCATCATAACTACAGACTATTTTGAAAGTTGCAGGAGCATCCTCCAACTACACATCAGCTTGCAAAGGGATGAGTTCAGGCTAGTAATAACAGTCACATCACAGAATTGTGTAGCAAAAGTTAGTTATTTGTAATACAGCATTCACCACTTTGTCATTTTGTCTACAGCTCAAGTGGGTTTACAGTCAGTACGAGCATAAATTAACAGCAAAGTAGCTACCGAAACTTAGCGAGCAGGATGGAAAGCTAAGAATTTTGATTAAAGCATCATTTCCTAACTCTGCTTAACCCTAAATTATTAAAATACGGAAAAAAAGTCAACATTATTTTAAAAAGATGCATCATTTATAAAAGGTCTTATTCCTTACAATATTATGTAAAACCAACATAGAAGAGTAAGGGCTACATTAAATACAGTCAAAGCAGTCAGATGACATGACAGAGACAACCCTACGTCCTCTGTTGTATTGCCCAACCGTGAGTTTTTCCTTGCTTTGCTGTGTAGCTGATGGCCACTGAACTTTTCCCATTTACCCCCAAGTGGATTGTCCACATGTACTTGTGTTCACACTTAAGAGCCAGCATTATTTACAATTGAAAAAAAAAAAAAAAAAGCATGGCTGTCCTACAGCTATGCTCACTCCACTGCAGTACTGGAACGAGTGCAACAGCTGGGGTATCTCAGGGAATGCATCATTGTTCTGAAGGGTCTTTTCTTCCCCATTTTATCAGATGTCGTCTCCTTATTGAAAGAATCCTCCTTTCTTTTCCCAGCCAGCTGAAGGGGCTCTGTCTGGAATTGTTCTATTTGAATCTCAAGATGTTTTTGAATGGCTAGGCCAAGGACCTCTGGATCCACAGATGCCCCGTACACTTCCCACGTCATTCCTTCATCATCCCATCTCACTTCACGTACAGGAGATTTGGGGGCCTCCAGGTCTTGCTGCTCCAGGTTCACCTCTGGGAACACATGTGAGTGGCCTTCTGCTGCAGCTGCTGGGCTTGTTGCCACAGATTTGCATTCCATGGTGGGAAGAGTTTGTACCTCGACATCTCTACGCTCAAGAGCTGCTTTTAGTCCTTTGGTTAGATCATTCACAGAGGTCATAGTCCACATATCCTTGGTTTTCATTACCACATCTGTGCCTTGATGGTTGCTAAAGGCAGCACAGGCAGCCTGTGCTTCTGGAGATCTTTCCTGCTGAGTGCAGTGCTGAGCATGCTGCAGTTGTTCTCCAGGAATGCTACAGCACTTCAGGACTCTCTTGGCATCCAGGCCTGATTCACTTACCGAAGACACAAGCTTAGGGTATGTCAGAATGTCTGAAGTAGAAAAGGAATGAAAATAGCCAGGGGCTGCCTGCTCTTTTCCTGACTCGCTAACCGAGCACACCAACCGCGGAACAAGTTGTATAGATGGTATGGGCAAAGAATGGCAATAGGCAGGGACGGTAGCATCTACTTTCAGACAGGAGTCCTGCCTTATATTACAGGGTGCTGCAGAGTTATGAACTGGCACCACCATCGGTGAGTATGCAGAGTTTGGAACATTACCATAAATCAGACCACCGTGAATAATCCCAGTGGCTTGACTGAACATTGTTCTGTTGGGGAAACCATTGCCAGGCATGTGGGGTCCAAGAACAGCACTGTGAAATGTTCCAGGATCTGTGTAAACGGTAGTGTTACGTGGAATACCACCGCTGTCAAAGCTATTTGTGGGTACTTTTTGGTCTGTAGGTATTGCTGGAAGGTGAGTCCCAAGGTTTTGAAAGTGAGATGTGTTTTCATTTGTTTCTGACGCATCTCTCTCTGACTGGAAAGACATCCTCGCCACTGATGGACCATGCTTGCTGCTGGAAGAACTTAGGCTGCAGTGAGTAGCGCTGGTTTCTACATGAGCAATGTAATTCTGCTGTTTGCAACTGCAAGTTAAGTCTGAGTGGCTTCTCTGAAGAGCAGTTCCTGGTTCTTCAATTTGGCGTGTGCTATGCTGGTGTACAGTGCAGGCTGAAGAAATATTCTCAACAGTGCTGCTCTTCACACACATCTTAGCATCACCCACTTCCCAGGATGCTGGGGACTGTTCAACGATAAGGAAATGGTTTGCAGGCTTAGTTCTGCTCTGTGAATTGTTATCAGGTGACAGATTGCTCATGGTTTGGACTACTGATCCATCCGGTACCATCAACCCAGACTGTGAGAAGGACCATCTTGGACTTGGCACACTCCTGGCATCACTCTCGTTTCCCAGGGTTTGGCAGACAGTGCTACTATGGCTTTTCCTAAGCTCCTGTTTGTTGCTTTGCGTTTCCTCTAAGCTTGACTGCCCAGAACAGATCAGACTCGAGGAGCTCTTTGACAGGGGGTGACTGTTGACATTCAAGAGACCATGACAAGTAGGACTCAGTGTGTCCCTGTGGGAATGAGTGTGGAGCTGGTGGCTGTCAGCTGACATGGCAAAAAGGAAGAATCTGCAAGAAATAGTGGAGGAGAAAAAGAAGCAGTTTAAGAAGGCAATACAAAAAAGTTCTCCTTGGTTTCTACCTTCTAAAAATAGTCATCCAAACTGTGCCAAGTACCATCTCCTTTGAATTTACTGGAGCCATTTTTGGGGACATACAGAGATATCGTGCAAGTTAAGCAAAGGCAGGTATGTTTTTAAACAAGACAGCTTTTGCCATGATGGTCATCAGCCAGCAACACTAACTGTACTGTCAAAACAAAGCAAAATACTCAGTTTTTAGTCTCTTGATGTTATCATTTCAAAAATTATTCAGTCACCACTGGATTTTTCAAATAAAAAGGACCTTGAGAATCTAAACAAATGAACAAGTTCTCCCTTTTTCCTTACCCTTCCTAGCAAGCTTCTTTCAATTCCATTTCGCAAGACCACCACTACATTAGTCAACGGTTTTATCAAGTAGTTCCCATACAGAAGATGTGGGCAAAACCATTTTGACCACCAAAAGGAGGTGAGTCCTGCCAAGTTGGTGTGGAGTCAGTGCCAGTGTTCCCAGAACCGATAAAGCTGGGGAGCATAGGTCGAAGATACCCACCTGGCCCACAGCATGGTTCTCATGCCTTCTAGCTTACCACTGACATGATAGGAGGTGGCAGCAAAGAGGGATCATCCAGTGAAAGGCCAGAGGTGAAACTCCCCCAGGACCCACTGAGCTGGATGGAAAATCAGTTCTGTCCTATTTGTAGCACATGCAGCCACTGCTGGTGTTGGAAAACACTTGCTTCTACTGATTAGCATACTATCCTTTTGTTACCCTTCCAAATTGTTAGCGTGTGTGTTAACACACCCAATCTACCCAGATTTAGTAGTCCCCTTTTTGTTTTTTTCTCCAGTTGAATCAGGTTTTCCACTGTGAGTAGTCAACTCACATTCCTTTGGCATCAGATGTCTTGCATATTAAAATAACTTGCTATACAAATACTGGAAGTATACCTGTATCTATCTATACACAGACACATACATATCAAGCTCATTCTGTTGAGCAGAAAAATCTTGAGCATTAATTCTTTGCTTCAGATAAAGCTTCCAGGTCAAGTACTACTGGGTAATTTGCTGTGTCAAAGTATGGTGGGAGCCCCAAGTTACCATTTTCAGAAGCTTTCCACCACATGAGCTGCTCTATACATTCTGCATCCCTAGCAGAACTCCTATAGAAAAAGCTCACAATTTCTTGTGAACCATATTCACTGAGGAAACAAGTGTATGGAACAAGACAGCTATGTACACATGGAGGACAAAAGCACTCTGTAAACATAACAGGCAAGTTCACTCATAACACCAAGAGACCAGCAAGGGAGCACATTCAAACCTCTCAGTGAGGAGCTTTTAACATGATCCTTTTAATATGATATTTACAGGATCAGAGAGTCAACCGCCAACGTAACTGATAAAGAGTACACCTTTTGCTCCATCTACGAACCAAGTGCTCTTCTGCTGATCCAAACAGCCATCAGCGCTTACACTTGTGATTGTGTTTTCATTGCTAACTTTAGCAAGCTAGCAGTTCATCTTGAAAATTTCTCATTACTTGAGATCCACCTGGGCTGGCTATTTTTCATAATGAAATTGCTGTGAGCAAGACAACATTTCAAGTAACAGTGGGTGGAATCACTTCTCTGAGTAGAGTCTTGACGTGCACTTTGTAGCAGGGACTTGTGATTGGCAGCAATATCCTTTAGCATTAGGCTTTGCTCAAATTTGGACAAAGCTGTATGCCAAAAAAGGCAATTTCCCCTCCTTCATTCATATTTGTTCAGTTAGAAGTTAAACTCGTTATGGACTGCAACCACAGCAAGCCTGCTCTATTTGTCACGCAGCCTCTCTGGCCTGTGGGACTCCACCAACTGGTGGCGTCCAGGGATGCCAACATTAAAAACACCCCCACAAACGCCAACAACAAAAGTATATTTTCTTCTAGGTATGAAATGTCAGATTCCCGGGTGAAAGGCGCTGCTGAGTGCAGCTGCAGTCAAGAGCAATCACTTCTTGCCAGGCTGGCTATTGCTATATTTCTATGAGTTTTTCAAAAGCCTCCACAAAATTTCCCCCTACACTTAGAAGAGAAGCACAAGCTGGGAAAGGGACAGTTTTAAAATACTTCAATCATCCCCTCCTCCAGAATGTTATCTATCCTGCAGCCACTTACACTTACGGGTATAGTCTGCCACATAGAGTTCAAAGGAGTCAATAGGATTAAACACCAGAGCATAGCTGTCTGCAAGGTGAAGACCTTATATTTAATCTCTTTACAAGATAACACCTGCAAAGGCTCTCACACACTTGGATGAAATGACATTTACTAATGAATATCCTGTAACAAATATTGAGTCTCAAGCGAAAGAAAACTTCAAACATAACCTGCTGTAAATGCTATAAGGCTATGGAAGCTTTAAAGAGCTCTCTCAGAAAGTTGACAAGATTTAAATGTGTATGCATACGTAGGTAACAAGATCTGTGCTTTACATAGCATTTCTGCAGACACCTGTGTAACTAGAGCTGATGCAAATTTCAGTTTGATTCATCATCTGAATGAGAAGCAGAAACATTCTCCTGAATGACACAGTCCAGTTTTCATTGCACCCATATAGACTCCTACTGCAGCTGAAATTATAACTAAACATGGGCCAATGCTACATATCTTACACATGTACCAATACATATATAACAGCATAATCAACAGGTATCAATGCCATTTGAATGTCATCTTTGCTCAGATACACAAACGTTCCTCCATGCTAGCACAAATGTAACTATTACCCTATGACTTTTGGACCTTAAAAACCAATGAGCACACACTAGTTCAGCAGAACAGCACCTCAGCAGGTACTTTAGGACATAGCTAAGGATGGGGAAAAAAAAAGTGAAAAAGAAAAAGCCCCATTGAAACAAGATGAATCAGCTTCCTTCACAATAATGCACTTCTCTGTCATGTTGAAATCCAAACTCACATTTTCACACACAGCCTGAACATTTCCCCATTTATAGGCCACCTATTGCTTTCCCCCCTCTACTGCCTGTTCCCTTCCTACTCTTGAGAGACCTACAAGCCCTTACACAACCAGTACATTTTGCCCACCTGGCACAGGCAGGGCTGTGAGATAGACGTGCCCACATGGAGCTCTGGAAAAGGCAATACAGAACAAACGTCTGGTAGACCTGGCCTTTGCTCACCTCTGCTGCAGCCAAGTGTTCCCAATACATTTCACATTAGCGTGAGTGCACACACAACTGTGTCACAAACTGCATCTACTTCTTGACCCAGATTTTTTTTTTTTTTTAAACTGGCTCAGCACTCACTACATCAGATCATCAATCCAGCTGAACATCCAGCCGCACTTATCACTGATGGCAGCAGAGGAAGGAAACAAAGACCATCCCCTCTGAAGAAACACTTACCACTGCAACAAGAGCAAACCCACACAAGTGGTGTTTTTCTTCCTAAGACTCTGGCAATTACATGCAATTCTGTACCTGCCTTCCCAAACATCTTCATTTCACATGCACAATGCTGGAGCTGATTCCCCAGAGCATGCAAAAACTCACATGTACATAAGCCTCCCTAGAAGAGGTGGCACAACAATGCATGCACACACACTGGAGATACCATCCTTCCTACATGAGTACAGGCAGACAGCATCCAGCTGATGGCTTCTGAGAAGTGGAAGGAGCAGACATGTCTGGGTGTGTACACCAACAGTCAGTTATTGCCTATCAGGGAGGAGCTGGAGACAGATGCTGAGAATGGTGCAATGCTTGTTTAAAAAGCAAGCAAAATAAAAATCAAAATGAGGAACACTCTCTGCAACAATTTTATAGTCATGCAGTGCCACTGCATTTTGTGTCTTTTGTGTATTTCCAGCTAACCAGGAAATGGATTACCCGTGTGAAACATGAACACAAACACAGCTGACTTGGGTACTTACAGACCTGGAACTTCACACACATTGGGTGAAGACTGCTTTGCTTAACTTTGTTGTTTTATTGTTTGTTTTAAGGAAATTCTTCATTTCTAGGACAGTAATCATATTCAAAAATACCTATAGTATATTCTGAGATGAGCTGAGATTTTCATTTGAAAATTCAAAGGAAATCTGCACCTGAATATGCAAACAAGAAAGCATGAACTTTGAGGCAAACACCCTGCTATGAATATATAGAAAATTGTTAGACAAGCAGAGAAAGGATTAGGATAGAAATGGAATTAACATCCACTATTTTTGGCTTAGCTTCAGATAGCTTATGAGGGGATCTAGTCTGCTTTCACTAATTCCACTGAACTACTTTAAAGCAACAAATGTGTATTTTGCTATGACTTATGATTAAAGTTGCGACCTATTTACTGCACTAGGAAATTCAGTCTCAGAATATTAAATACTATGTATGTCACCAATTGAAATATTCCATGATAGGTTAAATATCATTTTCAAATTCTTCAGCATTTTTATATCGCATGCACATACTTTTAAGTAAAATTTTGACAACAAACAATTGGATATAAAAAGAGGAGTAGTTCTTTATGATCATGTCAATATACAGACCAAGCTTTTATGTAATATGTAATATCACACGATATTTCAGTATGATCATATTTAGCTCCTGCATCATGTATTTGCTAGTGACTGCTTTCTTCCCTGCATTGGCCTTCCTGGTCCTACAGTCAGGAAAAAAAAAGCTATTTTTTTTTAGAAGCATCAGAAGAAAATTCTTTTGTCATCTAATGTTCTGTTTTTAAAACTAGCATCTAACTACAAAATAAGTGACAAAAACAGGGTCTGCTACAGAGCTGAGAGCATTAATAAGTACGTGTGGAATTTGGAAGAGCTGGGTGATTTGATCCATACCAAAAGTTTAGGATGACAATTGTTAATTGCAGGTACTAGACAAGACCCTTCCATGGTAAGCAGCAGCACTTTCTAAGAAAACACAAAACATTAAGAGGTTGCTAGGTCT